CTGAGAGTAAGAATAGCACAAAAGGTGCGCTATTTCTGCGTATAGTTCTTAACTTCTTTTTTTAAGTGCCCAAGCTGATCTTCGTAAGAAATTCAATTGTTATGTTTACAGACTTTTGGACCTAGTGGATCTCCTATAAAATACAACTGTTTTTAGTATATGTAATGTGCAATCAATGTAACGTCTTAGTATGATAAGAATAATAAGTGTAAAAAAAATATTTTGTCATAAAATGTTTTGTTTTCAATATCAAACTAAGGAATCTCCTTTTTAAACTTCTTTCATATTAACAATGAAATCGTGATGTTATTATCTTAAAAACGATGCAAAGACTTTTAATATGTTAATAGTTTTGTTTAAGTCATTTGAAATATTTGATGTAAAGTGTACATTTTAACCGCCTATGGAGATAAATGTATATTTTTCAAAATTTCCTCTACTTTTGCAACGTCCCTGAATCAAACCTTGAGTGTATCATAATTGTTTCTGTTTATAAGTTGTGAACTTTCCCCGACTTTTCGAAAGTTCATGGCTAATACATAGGCGGCGGGTTTCAAACTTTCAAACAAGAACGATTTAAGCGATAAAACTTGTCGTTAATTCATCAAAGTGATATGTCTTGAATGATGAAATATCATATAATTTCAAAAACGCCCAGATTAAGTTTATAAACCCATAAATCATCACCACTTTTCGGCAATATGTTAATAGGAAAACGGTTATCCAACTGGTTGTTCGACTTTTCAGTTTAATGTTGATTCCCCTAATTGTAACAAAATAATGTTGTTATAAACATATACATTTTGTAGATTTAATCATAATTGATACAAGTGGAGCAAATAGTATAAAAATCAATGTTTAATATTTAAGCGCATTTATTACCAATTTGGTTCTGAGAGTATAAATCCAATAAATGGTGAAAATTAGAACAAAAGAACAAATATATGCAGGGTAAATAATGGACAATTTTGAAACAGGAGGATATTGTTTACTTATGATGGTTAAAAATGACTCGTGAAATATTTCAGTTTTTTTTCTTTGGTAGATCTAGTTATGATGTATGCATATCGGTGTCTGATGGGGCACATGTACTCGTAAATCCGTATAATTATCTGTAGTTTAAATGGTAGTTGTAAATCAAGTGTTTATAAATGCGGTACTTGTATATTATTTGTTTATATGGTGATTGTATAACAGTTGTCTATGTGGTTCTTGTATAACAATTGATGTTGTGGTATTTGAATAACAGTTGTATATGTGGTATTTGTATATCAGTTGTTGATGTTGTATTTGTATAACAGTTGTTTATCTAGTATTTGTATAACAGTTGTTTATGTGGTATTTGTATATCAGTTGTTGATGTTGTATTTGTATAACAGTTGTTTATCTGGTGTTTGTATATCAGTTGTTGATGTGGTATTTGTATAACAGTTGTTTATCTAGTGTTTGTATAATCGTTACGGTTGTTTATGTGGTATTTGTAAAACAATTGTGTAGTGGTATTTGTATACCAATTGCTTATGTGGTATTTGTATAACAATTGCGTATGAGGTATTTGTATAACAGTCAGTGTTAAATGTGTTTTTACAATTCATATGTGGTGTTTGTATTACGTGGAAAACGATTTCAGCTTCTTGAATTCACGAAGAATTCACATGTAGTTGAAATCGTGAATTCGTAAAGTTGAAGTCGTGAATTCACGAAGCTGAAATCGGGAATTCAAAAAGTTTAAATGCTCCGATCCGTACTACGTAGAATTTGATGATATTGACTGAAATTGTCCAAAAGAGCAAAAAAAAAAACAACAAAAAACAAAAACATTTGATGATATATTTAGCTACTTGAATGTCAGTATGACATCTTAACGAATTCTTTAATTGTAGTCTAAAAGAATGATCTTTATAAATTAGAAACTGCTTCTGAGACAGACTGATTGAAGGTAATAAAGGCGCTGTTTTTAGAATATAATGCTTTGAGACATTTCATGCCATTATTTATGTAGACAAAATCTTTAAAATGTAGACCAGAATGTTTTTTTATAGAAAATTTATTGTCAAGTCTGCCAGTTTTCTCTAAAATTCAGCGGAAAGACGCTTAGTGTACAATTTTGCAATATTTGTTGGTACAAATGACAGGCACAGTATAGCCGTATGTATCATTTGCAGAATTTTATGTTTATATTTCTGTGGCATTCAGGTAAAAAGAAGTATTATTCAACAGCGATTAAACTGCCCACACCATCTAGAAATTACTTCAATATTCAACTATTTTATGGGCGTAACTATAACACTGACTTTCTTTTAAAAATGTTCAAATTGCTAAAGTTTATATGTAGATACGGCAGTCAAAATAATCTAAAATAGTATTATACATCTTAAACCCATCAACTTGACCTGTGTCGTGACTATTTGAAATATTCATTAGACTGTCCTTCTCTTATAGCAGAGCACACTGGTACAAGAATGGGAGAATGGGAACAAGTCACAGCATGGATGAATATTTTGCTCACACTTTTATAATTTAAAAAATGATGATAAAAAATAAATAAAAATAAACCTTCATATGAATATGAGCATAAAGCATATAAATCGTTTTTTTTTAAATCAGATTGTCGTGAAGTTGAAATCGTGAATTCATAAAGTTGAAATTGTAATTTCATGAAGTTGAATTCGTGAATTCATGCTGTTGAAATCGTTAACTCGTTAAATTGAAACCGTTTATTCTCGAAGTTAAAATTGTGAGTACGTGAAGTTGAAATCGTGAATTCATGAAGCTGAAATCGTGAATTCATGAATTCCGTATATTGAAAACGTGAATCAGGAAATTAAAATAGTGAATTCACGAAGATGAAATCGGAAAATCAAATGCTGTTCAATCTTTTATTTCAAATTATATTAAATTCATTAACATTTTAAAATTGCTAAACATGTTTTTTTCTATTAAACGTGTTAATTATCTAAAAAAAAAAAAACAGTCCGAATTTATAATTGAGACATTTTGACTTAAAACTTTTACATTGAATTATTTCTTGTGAATGTATCTATTGAACTGTATTCGTGTTCTGAACGTATTACCCAAATGGAATTAAATTTAATCAACTGAACAAAACTATTAAGATAATGAGTGTACCCAGTGTGAGGGCAAGTTAGTGACTGACTTATTCATTTATTTATAATAATAGATAGACAGTAATTCTATGGCACGCCTAATTAGCAATCCTGCGGCAAATCATAATCGATTGATGGTTATTTATGTTATAATAAGACATAAACTGAATCTAAATGCGTACACTTGTTACTTAAACAAGAATGTTTCAGCGAACATTCCTGAGAAATGATCAGCATTAAAACTGTTATGCCGTGAGATTATAATTTCTTATCTAATTAACAAATTTGATATTGAAATGTTCTAGAGAATCCACGAAAATACCACACTGAGATATGATAAAAGCAAATGTTCTGTTAATCATTTTAACATGCACGATGTTAATGCAGGTATGAAAGGCGTGGTCTTAGTAATCATGACGAGGAAGTAGTTTTGTTATTATTAAAATTCCTTTAATGCAGCAGCACGTTAGCACTTCATTACCTAATTTGTTTTTTTTTCTCTTTCTTATTACAAGAAAGTATTATTGTGGGTGATATGAATGTATGTGAATATATCGTGTTTGTAACTGCTTTGGCTAGAGAAATGTGAAGAATACAATAATACTAGAATAAAATACACAGAATTGTGCAAAATAATGCAGATTAACATCAAGTACGGTTTTCAGGGAATGTAGAGATAAAGAAAATATTGTTTTTTATTTTTGACTGTATTTTTTTTCAAAATTGTATTGTATAATTTTAACGAGCTATGAAAACTGCATGTTTTTAATAATTTATAATATTTGTAAGCAGACTTTTTTTGTTTTAATTTCGCTATCAAACCTATATATTAAACAAAAACTGTCTAACTGGTACATGTATACTGGACAAAGCTTCCAAGAATGTTTTTTAATCAAGTATTTACGTGGTAAATACTCGTGAAGTTGATAAAGCTAGCCAAATAGATCCTTTATTATAAGAGTTAATAAAGTTTTTTTTTATAATTATATAACGAAAAAAAGAATGGTGGTTCCGGTAATTGGCCAATGAGGAACATTTTGGATATTATTATAAATGTACATCAAAATTAAAAAGCTTTTGAGAAAAAGAAATAAAAGCATTCCTTAAACCTTTAATGCTATTCTTTACGAACAATTTTTATTATACGAACACTTAAGTGTATCTTATTCTTTTTCTTTTCTTGTTGGGTAGTAGTATCGGGGGATAATTTCTATATTTGGATAGCTGAACAGTATATACATGTGCAATGTGCATGCTTTTAAAGGAGTGTTTGATGGTACATTGTTGGTGCTAAATTTATTTTATGCGTCGATTTCCATTGTTGGTCTGTTTTCATCCGCATTTGGTGTAGAAAGAAATTGTCACATTTCACAGTTACGATGGTTACATCTGTGTGACGAATTTGATTCCGTGACGTATACACCAATACACCGCTTAAAACGATATATCCATTAAAACTCAATTTTAAGTTTACGTGCCCAAAAACCCTAAATTTAAAAAAATTTTCCCCAAATTATAAACGAGGGGAAATGAAACGTAATAATTGAACAAGGAAACGTTTACCATCCCCTTTTTTTAACTTAATCCCTTTTTAAATAAAAGATAAATTTCTTTAAAAATCTTCGGGTTTTTCTTTTCAAAATTTATAAACATATCGTTAAATAACATATTTATGTCATTATGTCGAAATGACATTAAAACTGCATCATAATTATTTTCCTTATAAAACCCATAAGTCAAATTTTAAATATATTTCACGCGATTCCACGCGAAATCTTTACTGGTTTTATTATTATCTAAACGCTACTTTAATTGCCATAATCGAATCATTTGCGTCTGTGTAATTCCGTTACGATAATTCTTGTAGCGGAGAAAAACTGTTGTCTGATTTTTATCAAATAATATCCTCACTAGAAAATCTAAATAAATCCCTCTATTACACTACTGCAATTTGCCAATTCCAATTTCCATTCATGAAAAACGCCAGTAGGTGGATGTGAACGAGTCATCGAGACGCTTACTGTGAACGCATCGTGTGGTCGAAACATATAAAAGCGTTCCTCAGCGTTCTCCGTAAACATTAATGTATGTGAAATCGCGAGGTAACCAGCTGATATAAGAAAGTAGAAAAAAACCAATACAAAACAACGTGGACATTTTTCAGTGATTACTCGACCAACATACTCATACTTGCAGATATAAGAAAGGAAATAAATACATTATCATATAAAAATGAAATTGGTGCGTATTTGAATTTTTTGTTATTTATAATTACTCATTAACTGTATTCTTGGTTTATTTATTTTGTTTTCTACACTGAAATTGTTTTAAAACAGGAAACTAATAAATAATTCTATATTATATATTGAAATTCTTATATTTTCCCTTAGATGCTAAGATAAAATTGCACCTTTATTAAAAAATTTCTGTTAAATTTACTTTTGGAATAACTTATTGCAAGGCGATAATCTTGAATAAATTATCTATCTTAATTTATTTCTCATAACTGTGAAAAATTATTTCTATTTCATTTAAATACCTTAAATTTCATACAAACAGTACATTTTTTATTATTCGCTTTCTATTTTGTCAAAATCAATTCATATAATAAACTTTTTTTCATATACCTTCCATATACTTTTCGGACATTTCAACTATAAATAATTTCCATTTTCTATATACATGTAAAATTGAACAACAAAATAATGATATTGATATTAAAGGATTGATAACTTCATAAAATACATTGAAATCTTCATAAAAGACATTGAATACTTCGATCATATCGAATATTGGTATTTCCAATTTTTTTGTTATTTGCTGTCCTTACACATTTTTATACAAAAAACACATACTTTCTGATAACTGAATAAAAATCATTGAAGATTAAAAAAAAGATCATAATTATCCTTAGAAATTATCATGGAATTATCTTCAGAGAGTAATATTTTGGGAATTATCATGATACGAAAATCGCGGTGGTATAATTATATCTCTTTCTACTAAATAAAAATAATGCGGTGATGTGATACATAAAGAATAATGTGTATTTATAGTTTGTTTAATTCGATTTTATATATACTGTCTTTCTTTATTTCTTTATTTTATTTTTTTTTTTTATTTATTTATTTATTTATTTATTCATTTATTTATTTATTTATTTATCAGCTAGTGTTTACACTATTTCTCCTTTTTTCTCTCATATACTTTCGTAAAGATATAACGTATAATTATCGTTTTTTTTATTATTTTAAATTCCCATTTCCCATACATAAAGGTACTAAACGTGCGTTATCATTACACTGGGAGTGTTTTAAATCAATACATTCATTAAATTCATTACATTGATGATGGTTTAATTGTTCGTACCAATCCTTAAAAAAGCATAACGCTCTAAAATTAAATGATGAAATCGACCTTTTAAAAGCGATTAAATACGTAAATGTCAGGTCGTCTTGTCCTACAATAAAGTGAAAACTATAGCCGTTTTATTGTAAAGTTAAAATAAAAGCTTTACAACTAGATACCTATAATGGTTAGGATGTGTAAAATAGAATAAAGCGTTTAACAATTTAAAAGAGTTGTAAATATCAGAAACTTGGAAAATGCCAAATAGTATAGTCTTTTAGCTATATATTTTATATGAAATACTTATAAATAAAACTAAATTGTTAATATTGTGAAATATGTTTTAATATTGCATCATTCACATTTTTTCTTATTATACATGCAATGACATTAAACATCTGTTATTGTTATAAATAAGATATTATATAACATTATCTGTTATAATAACATTATGTGTTATATTCATGTACTCATGTAATCATATTATTAAAAGTCATCATTTATTCATTTAAACTTGAAAACATATGATTTATACATGATTCTAGATCGAACAAATGTGTAATTATTTAACTGAATGAAATAATCAATTGATATAATATAAAAAAAACATGCAACTTTTTTTCTCCCTAATTGCAATTTTCTCATATTTTTACTTCGTTTCCTCGGTTTGTTTACATTTTTTATCAGGCCTGGCGAATCCCTGTTCCACACTCAATTTAATATTTATTATCAAAATTAATGGACTTATCGCGTATCAAAGTAAACTGACGTCAAATTCACCTTAAAGCACTTTAAAACATGCTTGGTGTCCCGAGTGGTGCGAGGAATTTAACCGAATTTTATAACCGTTGCATCAATAATTTGTTTTGGTTCAAACCAGGTCAAAGTTTCACAACACGAACTATCTGCCCATCTGCTTAATGCACAGCTCGGTTTAACCGAATTTATAGTCAAGAAGAAATCGAGCGTATTTTGTAGATTTCGTTTTGCTATTTTGCCGCGTTAAGAAATACGGTAAAATTTGCCACGATACAAAAAAAATTACAATCAAAATACGTGCATTTATTAAAAGCATTTTAAAAATATTTAAGTTATATTCAGTTTATAATTTTTCTTAAATACTGCGCAAACAATTTAGTATTTCAACTATAATAGTTTATTCTTATATAGATCAGGCAGAAGTATCGCAAATAATGTGGAATAATCCGTTTAAACCTTTTTAGAAGCACTGTTATAGGGTAAAGAAAAAAAATTGAGGTTAAGCCGCATTCTTCAACTCTTTAAAACCCTTCCTAAAATTAACGAAATCTACCACAACAATGGACATATCAATTATAGTGGGCGAACCATTATTTAATTATCAATGACTTTTATTATGTCCGTAGCTATCCTAAACAAATCATTACATTAAGCATAGGGTCAATGGGACGCTAGGCTACAGATCATGTATTAAGAGGAAAATAATTCAACCACAACTATGCCTCAACTATGTACAACAAACGCATTTGTAAACCATGCTTCAAATATGAGTTGTAAAAAGAGGCGGTGAGAGGGGGATGGATAGGAAGTCATTCCAATTAACTAAACAAATCAATGGAAAACATTTTGTAACATGAGCCAGAATGGTGGCGGTAATGGTAATGATCTGTACGATACAATAAAATGAATCCGCAATTTATGACTGATTTTTCTTTTCACAAAAGACTTCATGATGAAACACAGTCAATTGTACCACCTTTGGGAGTGACAAAATATCTATTTTTTTAAATCTATAGAAATAGTAACAATCCTTAGGTTCGTTTCTAACTGAGTGTATTGATTCGGAATGATATAAAACGTACACTGGTTGTATCATTACAATACATGCGAGAATAGAACGTGTTAAACGAAATCGTACTGGCATATATAAAGAAAATAAATACCCCCCCCCCCCCCCCAAAAAAAAAAAATAATAATAATAAAACAAAAATTAAAAATAAAAAGAAATAAAACCCTCAAACACTCACAGAAAGAAAAACAAACAAGTTAAATAAATCAAAATACCAATATGATACAAACGAAAATAGTTAAAAATTTTATACTTAAATGTGCACTTCTTAACCAATGGATTCCATGGTACAGTTAGTACATCGTATGCTCGCCAGCAGAACCTTTGATTATTCAAATCTAAGTACGGTATCTGGTGTCAGTGCAGATTTCAGCAATTTGTTATATACACGCATAGAAATGTTTGTTATTTTATTAATTAAATCGAAGTTTAATGAATGAATCTTTGTAGAGACTTCTTCATAATAGTTGTAATATTATCATATGCGTACATGGAATTGATTGCATTTGAAGAGTGTCACGATAAAACCAACATAAAGGGTTTGCGACCAACATGGATCCAGACCAGCCTGCTCGGATGCGCAAGCTGGTCTGGATCCATGTTGAACGCAAACCCACTATGTTTGTTTTGTCGTGACGCGGCTCAAATATATTTGCAAACTAAAAGCCTCTATTGAAAATAAAATCACTGCAGACTAATTATGATACTAAAGCTTAATTTCCTGAATAGTTAACAAATAATTTCCAATATTTCGAAAGTGGCCAACGACTAATCTCATCAGGATCCATGCTGTTCGCTTACAAACCCTATAGCAAGTAGACAAACTGATATCGATCAGCATGGATCCTAATCAGACTGCGCGGATGCGCAGGCTGGTCTGGATCCATGCTGGTCAAAAACCCACTATGTTGGTTTTGTCGTGACGCGGCTCAAATATCTTTGCAAACCAATAAAAAGCCTCTATTGAAAATAAAATCACTGTAGACTAATTATGTTACCAAAGCTTAGTTTCCTGGATAGTTAACCAATAATTTCCAATATTTCGCAAGTGGCCAACGACTAATCCCACATGAACGCTGATTCAGAAATCATGTGGGATTCGTAGTCGGGCACTGGCGGAGAAATTGTCTAATTACCTGTAAGCTATCCAGGAAAGCCGGTTTAATGAACCGGCCGACGTGATAGCGAACGCGTTAAAGTCGTCGTAAAAACAGAAAAAAACAAGCCATCAAACTTAATCCCTCTTTCTATTTATTTTAGACACGATGTTGTTTATGATGCATTTCCATAATTTATTCACTTGAACATATTTTGCGCGTGTACCTGACATTTAACATATATGTATATAAAGACATTACTGTATTTAATACCTATTTTCTTCTAGAAGAGGCAAAGTTTACGAGAATATATTACAAAAAATACACATTTATTTGTTTTGCTCTATTTTCAGAACGTGCAAAGCGTAGTAGTGTTCTTTCTGTCCGTTTGGATGTTGACCTCCATTCTGTTGACAAGGTCAACGGTCAAGGGTTTCTCGATACCTCATGTGAAGAGCCAATCCGTGGATGCTTGCCAGTACAGCTGCGGGTCGGACGTCTACAAATGTGACTTACGGTGTAAATATTGGAAGGATCTGAGGGGGATAGGACTGAAAAAATGCCAGTCTAGATGCGGTGATATGTTTTTAGACTGTTTTATCTCGTGCTATAACTTCTAAACTCAACAAAAAACTACAATTTAAGATCAGTATTTGACTACGCTCATGTTCAAAGGTCGCAGAATCTTATCATACAATCAAAGCACGCATATCTATTTTTGGACTTTTTATGGCATTAATTTCAAAGACCATTGTTCTGGACCTTAATGATTTACGACATAGGTACACCTTGCAGTTCTAAGAATGAAAAATAATAAAGAATCTTGTTATTACCAGGCATCATGGGTTGTTAACGAGCAATTTCTCTGTCACGTCTATTTTTTGATGTTCTTGTATAAAACTCATTCAATAGACGAAACATGGATGAATTATAATGAAGGCACAACTATAAATATCGTAATTGTGGCCATGTGGTGGGCCGATGGCAATAAATATGCGATGGATGTAGTTATAAGCCGGGAGTTCTCGATGACCCGCGGTTATATCCTGACGGGAGATCAAAATGTAGACTAAAAATAAACACAGATGAAATGCAATAAAGGGAAGGAATAACACAAGAAAAAAAATAAGGAGGAAACAAAACGAGAGATATTTAATTTAACTAAACAATAAGACTATCCAACATGTGGAATTACTGATTATTAATTGAAACAAATTGAGGCTTTAGCGAATGAATTTATATTGTATTTTTAGAGTCGATATTAATTTTTCATGGCAAAGATCTATTTGAAGAATATATCAATTTGTTAAGGAATAAAGAAGTTCTTGATAGATATGTCAATTGCTAACATATACTTACACACTTCCTGCTGCTTTTTTGTATATAAATGAAGTTTGGAATCATTGTATATATGAATATTGCAGTAAGGCCTATATTTATTTCATGTTGATATGTTTGTAAATATTATATATATTTGTATGAAATGTGAATGACCATTTTTCGCAGGTACGAAAATATGTTGATGTGTAAATGATAAATGTTAGGGTATCCGCATTTTGATGTTTTTAGAAAAAAACACTTTAACATACCTTTTACCTATATAATTATTCTCATAAAGTTTCATTCAAGAAAATTCAAGTGTAAATTGAATGTGTTAATTAAGACAACATAGATGATAAAATGTTCATCGTTTGGTAAATAGACGATAATGGTCCAATGCTGTTATATTGGTATAAGAGTAAGATGGGAACCGGTGGCCTAGTGGTAACAGTGTCTGCCTTTTAGCACTGACATAATGGGTTCAAGTCAAAACGACATGACACCAGTACGGAATGGTCCAAGCAGAAAGCGGACTGCAAAGCCTTTTAAGTAAGCTGGAAGGGTTCCTCAAGTAAAACCTTAACAAATAGAAGGTAGACTTAGATTGGTGTTTCAAAAATAGATATAATTTCAAAGAATGTTGAAGAATATCAAAATGCGGATCCCCTGACATATTTCTACATGAGGATACGTCATTATATGACGTTGATCTTTTTTTTTTCATTTATCTTTTTGAATTTCGCCATGCATTTCTTGCAATCATTATAGCTGTTTTACTTGTTGAATTCAGTATTCTATTCTAGACTTAACTCGAGTTGTCTGTTATAACAAGGGAACACATGTTATGTTTAAGAATTAAATGAACCCTGTTTTATAATCTTTTAATCTGCCAAATTAAACATATTTCTGGTTGAACTATTTATATTGTTTTATTAAAACATGACCATTTAGGAAAGATATATAGATTTCAAAATTATACAAGATTTTAAATCAATTTCACGTTGATTGATAATAATTCTATTTCAAATTGTTATAATCATGTAAATGCTCTCACTTCCGATTATTTCATGTAAATCTAATTGTTTTAAGAATGTTTCATGTAAATTTGATCAATTTCAGATTGTTGCATGTAAATTTTATTGTTTTGAGATTGTTTTATGTAAATGCTATCAATTTCATTTTGTGAAGTATAGCTGAGTAAAATATCATTCCAAGAAAAATTAAAAGTCGCAAAAGCATTTTCTTCTTGTTTTCTTTTGGTCTATGGAAACTAAACGACAGTAGTAAGTTTTCTCCACCATATTCCTCTGAACCTCTTAGTAACCGGTTTTAGATATATTCATCAAACATTTAAATTTCGATGATGGCGCAACTGAAATTAAGAAACATCAGAAACTTTGTCCATATGTACGAAAGACCGGTTGGGGCATTTCAACTTCATAAATTCCCGATTTCAACTTCATGAATTCCCGATTGCAGCTTCATGAATTATCGATTTCAACTTCATAAAGATGAAATCGTGAATTCGTAAAGTTGAAATTGTGAATTTGTAAAGTTGAAATCGTGAATTCGTGAAGTTGAAATCGTGAATTCAGGAAGTTGCATTCGTGAAGTTGAAATCGTGAATTCATGAAGTTGAAATCGTGAATTCGTAAAGTTGAAATCGTGAATTCTTGAAGTTGAAATCATGAATTCGTTAAGTTGAAATCGTGAATTCGTGAAGTTTAAATCGCGAATTCACAAAGTTGAATTCGTAAAGTTGAAATCGTGAATTCATGAAGTTAAAATCGTGAATTCGTGAAGTTGAAATCGTGAATTCATGAAGTTGAAATCTTGAATTCGTTAAGCGGAAGTCGTGAATTCATGAAGCTGAATCGTGAATTCGTGAATTCCGTATTTTTAAACGGGAATTCCCGAAGTTTAAATTGTGAATTCATGAAGATGAAATCGGGAATTCATGAATTTGAAATGGCCCTACTGGTCTTTCGTACATATGGCATTAATCATTTAATAATAAATGTGACACTTAGATCATATCAGCTTCCAGATATATACCGCTGATAACTCCGCTACAAAATAGGATTCTATAGTTTGCCGTGACATGCGCTCTTTCCAATTTCAAAAGTTAATCGTCAAACATAAGTCGGTACTATATATTTCCATATAATCGAATGGAAATATATCCTCACTATTATAATTCCAACACTCTCGTCACTAAACACTACGTCACTATCACAATAACACCACTATCATCACTACATTACTATCGTTAATAAACACTACATTACTATCATAATAATACATATTATTCACTACATTACTATTGTTATTATACATTACATTACTATTATTATAACAACAACACTATCTTCAATACATTACTGTAAATATTAAACACTACAACACTATCATTATAACAACACTTTCTTCACTACATTGCTGTCGTTACACCAGTACGGAGTGGTCCAAGCAGAAAGCGGACTGCAAAGCCTTTTAAGTAAGCTGGAAGGGTTCCTCAAGTAAAACCTTAACAAATAGAAGGTAGATTTAGATTGGTGTTTCAAAAATAGATAGAATTTCAAAGAATGATGAAGAGTATCAAAATGCGGATCCCCTGACATATTTCTACATGAGGATACGTCATTATATGACGTTGATCTTTTTTTTTTTTCATTTATCTTTTTGAATTTCGCCATGCATTTCTTGCAATCATTATAGCTGTTTTACTTGTTGAATTCAGTATTCTATTCTAGACTCAACTCGAGTTGTCTGTTATAACAAGGGAACACATGTTATGTTTAAGAATTAAATGAACCCTGTTTTATAATCTTTTAATCTGCCAAATTAAACATAATTCTGGTTGAACTATTTATATTGTTTTATTAAAACATGACTATTTAGGAAAGGTATATAGATTTCAAAATTATACAAGTTTTTAAATCAATTTCACGTTGATTGGTGTAAATTCTATTTCAAATTGTTATAATCATGTAAATGCTCTCACTTCCGATTATTTCATGTAAATCCAATTGTTTTAAGAATGTTTCATGTAAATTTGATCAATTTCAGATTGTTGCATGTAAATTCTATTGTTTTGAGATTGTTTCATGTAAATGCTATCAATTTCATTTTGTGAAGTATAGCTGAGTAAAATATCATTCCAAGAAAAATTAAAAGTCGCAAAAGCATTTTCTTCTTGTTTTCTTTTGGTCTATGGAAACTAAACGACAGAAGTAAGTTTTCTCCACCATATTCCTCTGAACCTCTTAGTAACCGGTTTTAGATATATTCATCAAACATTTAAATTTCGATGATGGCGCAACTAAAATTAAGAAACATCAGAAACTGTGTCCATATGTACGAAAGACCGGTTGGGGCATTTCAACTTCATAAATTCCCGATTTCAACTTCATGAATTCCCGATTGCAGCTTCATGAATTATCGATTTCAACTTCATAAAGATGAAATCGTGAATTCGTGAAGTTGAAATTGTGAATTTGTAAAGTTGAAATCGTGAATTCGTGAAGTTGAAATCGTGAATTCAGGAAGTTGCATTCGTTAAGTTGAAATCGTGAATTCATGAGGTTGAAATCGTGAATTCGTAAAGTTGAAATCGTGAATTCTTGAAGTTGAAATAATGAATTCGTTAAGTTGAAATCGTGAATTCGTGAAGTTTAAATCGCGAATTCACAAAGTTGAATTCGTAAAGTTGAAATCGTGAATTCATGAAGTTAAAATCGTGAATTCGTGAAGTTGAAATCGTGAATTCATGAAGTTGAAATCTTGAATTCGTTAAGCTGAAGTCGTGAATTCATGAAGCTGAATCGTGAATTCGTGAATTCCGTATTTTTAAACGGGAATTCACGAAGTTTAAATTGTGAATTCATGAAGATGAAATCGGGAATTCATGAATTTGAAATGGCCCTACTGGTCTTCGGTACATATGGCATTAATCATTTAATAATAAAGTTGACACTTAGATCATAATTATCAGCTTCCAGATATATACCGCTGATAACTCCGCTACAAAATAGGATTCTATAGTTTGCCGTGACATGCGCTCTTTCCAATTTCAAAAGTTAATCGTCAAACATAAGTCGGTACTATATATTTCCATATAATCGAATGGAAATATATCCTCACTATTATAATTCCAACACTCTCGTCACTAAACACTACGTCACTATCACAATAACACCACTATCATCACTACATTACTATCGTTAATAAACACTACATTACTATCATAATAATACATATTATTCACTACATTACTATTGTTATTATACATTACATTACTATTATTATAACAACAACGCTATCTTCAATACATTACTGTAAATATTAAACACAACAACACTATCATTATAACAACACTTTCTTTACTACATTGCTGTCGTTACATCAGTACGGAGTGGTCCAAGCAAAAAGCGGACTGCAAAGCCTTTTAAGTAAGCTGGAAGGGTTCCTCAATTAAAACCTTAACAAATAGAAGGTAGATTTAGATTGGTGTTTCAAAAATAGATAGAATTTCAAAGAATGATGAAGAGTATCAAAATGCGGATCCCCTGACATATTTCTACATGAGGATACGTCCTTATATGACGTTGATCTTTTTTTTCATTTATCTTTTAGAATTTCGCCATGCATTTCTTGCAGTCATTATAGCTGTTTTACTTGTTGAATTCAGTATTCTATTCTAGACTTAACTCGAGTTGTCTGTTATAACAAGGGAACACATGTTATGTTTAAGAATTAAATGAACCCTGTTTTATAATCTTTTAATCTGCCAAATTAAACATATTT